TCCACTTCTGGGAAACTTCTCCTGATGTCCAGACTGAGCTGGTCAGTGCTTCCTCTGACCCCCATCCCCCCCTTCTTAATCCTGTGTACTTTGCTCAGACAGGATGGTGACCCTTTGTTCACACATCTCTATCTATAGTTACCATGACCCCCTCAAGGGAAAGGCTTGGGGCTTTTCAGTCTCTAGTGCTGAACACAGAGCTGGTGATGTGGTAGACATCGGTAGATGCTAATGAAATGAGGAGTGAGCCAGTGAGTGCAGATCACAGGGGATACTATTTCCTTATATCGTGCTATGTGAAGCAAAAGGGAAAAGTGTTACTAAGTGGGGATAGTTAGGGTTCCACCTGAGGTCTTTTCATCTCTCATAGTCCTTTCCTAGGTCTTTATTTTATGTGACACTAGATTTCTGGGCTAAGAATTACCTAGGAGCTTGGCAGAATCTGGCAGGGGGATACCTCTAAAATTCTGGGATCTGGAAGCTCAGCTGAGTGGAGCTGCTTCTAGAGGAGAGTGGGTGGGTCTCATAAGTTGGAAGGACCATGATTACATCCTCCAAATCAAGTCTTGTGTCAAGAGGCTAGAACTCAGGGCCACTTGGAAGTCTGAAAAAGGTAACTGCTATGAACTGTACTTTGCTCAGCTAGCTGAGTACAGAGGCTGTTGCTTTTATGGTGATAGCATATATATCTGTACCTTACCCACTGCACTGATAGCTCCTTAAGGGCGAGATTGTGTCTTCCTTTCCCCAGGACTTTGGCAGGCTAATCAGTGTCTATAAGGCTCATAGACTGGGGCTAAAACAACTTGTCAGGTTAAATAAACCACCCTTATTGGTGATATTGCCTAATAATAATGCTTTCTGCAATGACACTAATATAATTTTGGACAAAATATTCATGTATTTCTATTTTTTTTTTTTGGTAGAAGTTTTTGCTTAATTATGTCCAAGGAGGCCTGCATCTCTTTTACTGGTGGAGTTAAGGTCTCTTTTGTGCATAGTAGAACCTTCTGGGTCTCTTGTATCACTCTCCTTGGGCACTTTGAGCCTGGAAGACCCATGCCTACAAAGTTCTTAGAGTGAATGAAAGTTTACCTGATCCTCATCAAGGCAGACCTGAAGTCAGGAAGAAAGAAGAGATGACACAGGGGGAAGAAAGGAAAATAGCATCCTTGTAAGTCTAGAAATGAAGCGATAAAGAGGAAAGACGGGTGGGGGATAAGAGTGAAGGACCTAGATGTGAGTCTTCAGTTGGACATGTTAAAAGGAGCACTAAGGATTGTATCTCAGTCTCTGTGACGAGTCACTCAGCAGTGACCATGTTCCAGACAATGGGCTTTCTTTATGGATGTAGCCTGGGCCCAATTGAACCTGAATGGATTCAGAGACTGATTAGGTCCTTCCAGCTGGTGAGGCTCAGAGTCCCTAAGCATTTATTTAGAGTTGCTCTACAAGGGGAGAGGACAGTCTTTAAGAAGGACATTTATGCATAGTTCCCTGGGGTCAAAGATAGAAATGGAGGAGACGGCCAGATTGACTGTGGGGGAGAAGACGAAGGCCTGTATGTATACTGTACATGTATATTGCATAACCTAAGTGACCCCATTAATGAGTAGTTGGACAGTGATTAACCTATAAGGGTACCCACTTAGCCACTTCTCCAGCACTGCCTTTCTAACACAGTGGGGTTGCTGAGTCCCCCTATTAAGGCAGAAGTCATGGAGAACAACCATATCCTCACAACGCCTTTTGGTCTTTGGGAGAGGAGTTTTAGGTTATAGGGATGATGTCCTTTCCCAGGGGGACATTTCTAGTATTCTAGAAGATAGAATGGGCTTCCCTAGTGGTTCAGACGGTAAAGCGTCTGCCTGCAATGCTGGACACCCGGGTTCGATCCCTGGGTCAGGAAGATCCCCTGGAGAAGGAAATGACAACCCACTCCAGTACTCTTGCCTGGAAAATCCCATGGACAGAGGAGCCTGGTAGGCTACTGTCCATGAGGTCGCAAAGAGTCAGGGAGATAACAAAGGACAAGCTAGAGAGTGTTTCTGGGGATAAAAGAACCCCTCCAGTTCCAAAGAAGGGTGAGCATCGCTGAATGACAACGATGATGCTTGCCTGAGTAGCTGTAGAGACCTTTGTAGTTTACAGAGCTTTTCCTCTCATATCAGTTCCTTTGAAAGTTCATAGAAAATCCTGTGAAGCAAAAGTTTATACACCTATTTTTCAGAAGGGGAATGAGGCTCAAACAGCTTCAAGGACTTATCCAAGACTGTGTGGCCATTAAATGTAAGAATCATGCTAGAAATCTCCTGACACTCTCTTCATCCTTCTTTCCTAAGTGGTCCCTTGTGTCATGGTGGGATAATTGTCTTTATCTCATGGAGGCTGACATTATGGCCAAGGCAGCCAGAGGACCAGACATTAGGGTGATGCCTGAGGAGAGGCAAACATTCAGATGAAGGATGTGATCTGGGGTGTAGTACCAGCCACAGAGCAGCACCCATTCCACTCAGATTTATGCATTTCATAAATATTGAGGCTGTTACATGGAAAACTAGTCTAACCAGAAGCTCCATGAGAAAGAGAGTATCGCAGTCCAGTAATACGTATTGTACTCTTCTTCTTTTAGAGTAGCAGTGCATGATCAAGGCTCTATAATGTCTTTAAGCAAAGAAATCTCTTTGACTCTGTGTAACTCAAGGTCTCTAAATTTATTTGAACATAAAGCCTTTTTTTTAAAAGTCAGACCTATCAGCAGCTCATGGAACTGCCAAAAATAATTAGTTTGTTTTAATCACTGAATTAATTGTTTGCTTTGATATATGGCAAGTTCTAGGATTTTTTTTTTTTTTTGTGGTTTTATATTCTAGCCTGAAGACTCATATATATGTCAGGTGTAAATAGGCCTTGGTATTGTTGGTTTCATAATTCAAAGACCCAGGGTTAGACCGTGCCCATGCAAGCATGCTAAAGTTCATAAATTAAAAATGAAATCTCATTACAATATTAATAAGATTTTAAAATATTAGGTATTTTTGCTGGTAATTCACGATAGAATAAATGTCAAGGAAAACTCTGAGTCTGTCTATGTAGCATGATGGTATATGTGATTTGAGAGAATTAACCTATCGGAGATTTTTGAAGGGAGCAAGGTTGATGTTTTATGCAGGTCATTTATCATCTTCCTACCTATGGATTGCAGTAGACTCTTGACATTCATGATGGGTATTTCTTGAGACCTCTATGACTCTCCTAATATCACTAGAATAAATAATCTCCCTCACAAAACCTTTTTATTCTGACCAAAACTGTCACATTTATAGTGTTTCACTTTTTCTTCTCAGTCATCACCAGCACCATTTTGTACTTGGTAGTTGACAATGAGGAGGAACATTATAGGCTCTGAAGTGGTGGCCATAGTGTGGACTAGTTGAAGGATTCACCCTCAGTGACTGGTTTGCTGGGAGATTTGGATTTATGTTTCAGAAATATGGTGAATGCTTTCATTTCCTGGGCTGTTGGGATTGTTTGTGAAGAGCCAAAACTGTGAATGCTAATCTACAAATATCAAGCATCTTCTTTTCTTTGGGGTGTCAAATACATCTTCCCCTTTCACTCTGTGCTAGAAGACAGGAAAATACCATGGCTTGGGGAAGAAAGGAAATGCTAGAAACTTAAGCCTATTACCACCATAACATGCAGTCTCTACAGCAGGGTGTCTCTGAACTCCAAGACCATGAATATCTCAGCACCTTTAGGAAACGCTTGCTTGCTGTGCTTTGATGAACAGTCTCAGCGAGCTCTTGAGATAAGCTAAAACGTGAGTCCCCCTACACTCGGTCAGTAGGATTGTACATACTTGAAACTGCAGCCTGACTCCTCCCCTCCCATAGCTCTATGCTTTTGAATATTTATCTAAGGCTGCCTTTCCCATGGCTTATCAATTTTATCTTCAGGACTCACAGTCTTTGAAAAAAGCTATTTTTTCCTAGAATTTTTTATTATTATTAAATTTAAAAGGATAGGAAGATTTTTTTATCACACTTAGAAGCTCTCTCTAGATGAATACCATATACTGTTGTTGAAGAATGGTTCACTTCACACAAATTAAGATAAGCAGACAAGAAGAAAAATGCCAAGAAGCCCATCTGGAGGTATTGGGAATACCCCCAGTAGTCACCCTGTAAAATAGATGGGAAAAAACAACCCTTAAAGACCGATCAGCCATTTTGCTTCTTTGGAAAGCACAGTTGGTACTGAAGCACATGGATCTTTGGACTCTGCGGTTTTCATCAGGATGAATGATGCCAACTAATATAAGAGCAGATTCTATAAAATCCAGAGTACATCCAGAGTGGAACTCTAATTGAATCTTTCTCCTTAGGACCTCAGTCTGACCAGCCACTGTGGCTGTGAGGGCTCCTGGGTGCCAGTGGCCATTAAAGACACCTTGAGGTTGATTGAGGAGGTAGGACTTACTCTTTTGGAAGTCTAATCATGCTTCCTATTAAAGCCTTTCATAAGCCTTGAGAGTGAAATTCCTCTAAGCCACTCAGAACCATGGATCCCACAAAGCCTCTGCACTAAGACGTTTTCTACACAAGTCCCCAGGCACACAGAGAAAGCTCAATAAGTGCTGTTGAAAGAACTGAGTGGTATGTTTTTTCATGAAAACTTGAGAATTGGCCTGCCAGCTGATGGCAGCATTCACTGTAACCTGGTCCTCACCAGTAGTTTGGAGGTTGAACATCTCCTCTTTTATTCTCCAGGCTCAAAGCCTGTTCATAGAATGACTGTCATCATCTCACTCTCCTGGTGGGCTGGGGGTGGAGGAAGGAGCTCTGAGCAGTTGGGCAAGGCTGGAGGTTCCCCTGTCTAGAGGCGAGTCGGGTAATTGCTATTGTCACCATCCTCTTGTGGGAACAAAATATGTGTGAGCACAAAGGTCAGCCAGCAACCCTGGAGGTAGAAAGGCCAGGAGAGGTGGGGAAGCTTACCTTCTTGACTTCGTACTTAATGGCGAGTTTGATCCGGCTCAGACTCGGACGGTGGTGGTCGGACCAGACTTGGAAGTTCACATCACCATTTAAAATCGCTTCCACCTCTTCTGTGTCTCGGCATAGGTCCAGCACGCCCACCACAAAATCCTTGCATTGCATAGATAACTTCCTGTAATCGTTCTAACAGAATAAAGAGAAATCAGGGGTGTGTCACACCGAACCCCACAGATGGGCTTGCCTAGCTCAGCAGTGTCGATCAGCAACTGTCCACCAAATGTGAGCTTAATAGAGCACTCTGGAACCAGGGAATGTGCTGGAACCAGAAGGCAGGGCCGTTTCTCTTGCTACAGTAGTCTAGAGGACATCTTCTCTAAGCCAGGATTTGTCAGGCTGTGTTCCACGGCCACCTGCATCAGAGTACCTTGGATGTGCTATAACTGTGATTCGCAGGCCCCACTGCCGACTTACAGACCCAGGAAGCTGTCTTTAACCTGTCTTTTAATCTTAAAGGTTAACCTTTTAACCTTGTTCTCTGAGTGATTCTGATGCCTGCCAAAGCCCACCCTGGGCTCTTTGAAAGCAGCAATTACCCTTGCCTGATCTGAGGGAGGAGTGATAAGGAGATGCACTTTTAAGGCTGATGGGAATATCACTTTACTCATTTACCACCAATCTGTGATGGTAACTGTTCTACGCAGGAAGTTTGCTGGAAAGATTCAGCTGATATACTAAATTTGGAGGGAAAAAAATGTACACAGGTGTGCTTTGTTTTAATGTGCTGGAAAATCTGCTTATAAATTTAAAAATCAAATGTAATTTAAATCTAACTATCCTTTCCTTAGCACAGATCCTTTTGTACAGCAAATCATGGCATGTTAAATTACTTGCCTGTTGAATAATCATTTTCAGACCTTGACCTCTTTTTTTTTATTTGTTTAATGAATTGCCTGTGGGTTTCTCTCTTCTCCTCCCGAGGCACACCTTTCTGAATTATCTTGAGAGGCTGACTGCCTTTCCTTGTGATGTGCCAATTTCTCTCTTCCCTAAAACACACTGCTTCAATTCCAGATAATGATCCAAAATGTTGGGACAGAAGAATGTTTCATGTCACCCTCAAACCACTCCTCCCCCAAAATATTTTCCCCTATAGGGTTTTTTTTTATTGGTTTCTTAGTTGAAATGAGTCTATTTGAAAGCAGCACAAGAGCCAAATGTCACTTTCAGTGTTAATCAATGTCAAAAGCCCTGAGAGTGATAAATAGTAGTTGGTAAACAGGAGTGTGGTTTTGCTTTTCCAGACCCTGGATTCCTCAGCAAATAGATGGGAGCCTGGCAAACTGTAGGAACGCCACCATTTTTCTAAATTAATGATTTGTTTCTCCTTGCAGCACTGTTGCATCAAAATGTCCTTTTGTATTAGAGAAAGAAGCAAGTGACTGTTAGCTAAGAAAAGGAAAAGGATCAAGAAAATGTTTTCCTACAAGAGTGGCTGCTTTTCATTTTTATATATAATTTAGGGATAAGGAGGGTGTTTGGGAAATGCTGGGTAGAAAGATGACTGCTCCAGCAGACTGTCACGGGCAACTGAGACTGTGCCGTCTCAGGGCCTCTGTGCATTTCTGAGTTTGGTGCAGTTCAGGATGGAAGGTACCATTACATTAGAGACTCATTTCCCTGGGCTTTTTACTAGCTGGGCCATAAAAAAAAAGGGAGAAACGCCAGGGCAGCCAAAACAGTTTGCTTTTGCCGTCTGAATTAGACAGTCTGGAAGGCAGCGCACCTTGTGCCTACATGTGGGTGGAAGAGACAAAACCAGCCTGCCAGGAAGATGGAGATGACATGGGTGTGGATAGCTGCAGACTTGAGGGTCATGCCAGGCCCAGCCTCCCACAGAGAGGGAGAGCCATGGGCGCACATCTTGGGGATTATGATGATTATGAAAAGTGGGATAGCCCTGAGCTCAGTGAGCCTTTCAGCCACACTTTTTACCTTTAGTCAGAGAGATGCGACATATTCCCAAGACTTCACAGATGCCCTTTTAAGTAATTTCATATCACGGCATACTGAAGTCTGCCAGGTCCACTGGGTGACAGGTGTTCTACCTGCATCATCTTACTCAGGCCTTACAAAATACTCATGTGAGAAGGACTGTCAGCATTTCCAACTCATGAGTGAGAAAACTGAGACTAAGGGAGATAAATTAACAGGTTGAACCCACTTTTCCTTATACTGGTCACTGACTCATCTCTCTGATTACTTTCTCGCTTTCCTTGAAGATTTTGCCTCTTGTCTCACTGTCACTCACCCAACTGCTTCTGTTCTCGGTGGTTTCAGTATTGAAGATGATGTCCTTCCCATTACCCTGCCCTCTCATTTCCATGATAACATTTTCTTTAGTGATGTTATTCTGAGTGCCAACTCAGCCATTCATTCTCTTAGTTATTCCCAATAACTGAAGCTCCTCCATGCCCCCAACTTTAGGTCCGCTTCTCTCTGACCACTACCTCCTATATGTCCAGCTTTCTCCATCTGAACCCCAATTCTAGTGATCCTTTGGTTTCACCAAACCTACAAGCCATTGATCATACCATGTTTTCACCCCCAGCAGGTCCCTGTCTCCCTCCTTGCAGAGCTTCCGTTTTGTGGGTAGTCTTTATTATCATCCTTGCACCCATCAGTTCTCTTGCCTTCCTCTTGTTCTGTTCCCATCACTGGATTAAAGCCAGACTTTGGTTGAGTCTGACTCGCCACTGCTCTGCTCCCGCCTCTGCACAGTGAACGTGGCTGGAGAACACACACCTGCACTGAGTCGGCGTGCTGTAAACTCAGCCCCTCCGGCCTCAAGGAGTCCCCAGTGCTCCTGCCCCAAACGAGCGTTTCAGACCTCTCCTACCCTGTTGTCCAGCCTCCTCCCGCTCCCAGCTTCCTTTTAGCTGGAGAGTAGAACGCATCAGAAGAGAAGCTCCACACGCTCACAGCATCCCCATCGTCTGCTTTCATACATCAGTGCTCATGGACTCTTTCCCCTCTTACTCTGGGTGAACTGCCCCTGCTCCTGTCTAGGGCCAGCTCCTCCTCCCAGCATCAGCCCCGTGTACTGCTCTCCATTTCTCTTTCCTGCATTGTTAATCTCTCCCTTCCTCTGGTGGCTTAGCATGCAAACATGTTTGCTGTTCTCTTGTCTTAATAAGAAATGCCTCTTGACTCCACTTCCCTCTCCAATTCCTACTCTAGTTTTCTGTTCCATTTTGTAGAAAAACTCATTAGACTTGTGTACAGTCATAGTTGCCCTCCTTACATATTTCTTACCCTGTTCAGCAAAACTTTCACACTCTAGCCATTGCTTCCACTGAGACTGTTCTTGTCGAGGTCACATATGCCTTTCATGTTGCTAAATCCAGTGGTTGGTTCTCAGTCCTCATCTTAAATGACCTGTTAGGTGCTTTGACAGAGCTGATCACTTCCTCTTCCTTGATATACATTCTTCACTTGGCTTCCAGCATAACATACTGTTCTGTAGTTTTTCTTCCTGAATGAGTACTTTTTGCATCTTTGTTGGTTAATTCTCATGTCCCTGATGTCTTAGTTTTAGAATGTCCTATAGATGTGCCCAGTCCTTTGAATTCTCCTGTCTTTTTACACTCATTGCCTTAGTGATCCTATCTAAGATCATTAGATGCTATCTATATGCTGATGACTTTAAATTTTATATCTTTAGCTCAGCCTTCTTTCCTGAACTTGAGTCTTATAGCCAATTGCCATCTGGTATTTCCACTTGAATGCCAAATAGGCATTTCAGAGTCAATGAAACTAACTCTGGACCTAGTCTTCTCTGCCTTACTAATATTTCCCAACCTATCAGTTGTCCAGGACAAAAAAACCTTGAATTTATCCTTGGTTCCTCCCTTCCTCTTAAACCTGACATACAATTTAGTAGCAGATTCCACCAGCAATACCTTCTACATATATATTGCTCTAAACCATCAATTTTTGCTTAGACTAACCAAGAGACTCTTAACTGACCTCCTTCATTCTGTCCTGGTCTTCTGTGGTCTATTTTCCATACATCAGTCAGAAAGATATTTAGAAAAAGCAGTCAGTACATGGCACTGGTCTGCTCAAACCCTCCCATGGCTCTCCATCCCCTCGAAGTAAAAGTAGACTTATTATACCGTCCTGTAAGGACATACATTGCCTAGCCTCTCCATTCTCTCACTGATTTGCTGTGGTTCTCTCTCTCCCTCAGTCTGTTCAAGCCACCTGACCCCCCCACTGTTCTTCAAACACACCTGACATGGACTAGACCTTTGTACTGGCTATTCTCTTCTTATAATGCTCTCTCCAGGTAATCTACATGAACAGATTTCTCAACTTCTTCAAGTTTTTGCTCAAATGTCACTTTCTCAGACGACTTCTTTGAGTATCTTTTAAAAACATCGTAACTCTTTTCCATTGGCATTCACTGTTTCCTTTTTGTTTTGTTTTGTTTTCTTCACAATACTTATGACTCTATGACATCTATACAAGTTATTTATTATATTTATTGTCCATACATTTCATTAGAATATAAGCTTCTTGAGGGCAGGAATCTTTGCTGTTTTGTCCACAGATATATCTTTAGAGCCGAGAAGATTTCCTGGAACATGACAGGCACTGAGTAAATGCTTGTTAAATCTGTTGGAGCAGTGTACTTGCCTAAGATGACATAGCGACTTAGGTGGTACAGCCAAGATTCGAGACAGATCAGTCTGCCCCCAATCCTGCCCTGTTCCCTCTCACCATGTTGCCTCTTGGTGAGCAGCATGCTCCCTGCTGCTTAGCACACTAGACACTAGAGGCTTAGTTGAGGCTGACACTCAATTAATTTGGAGAAATAAAGGGTGAGCTGGAATATACATATCTGAATACTCAACAGATTCTGTAGTGTACTAGATGAGTGCACAGGTTTTGAAGTCAGAAAAGCCTGGAGTTTGAATTACTTTCTTTTTTTTTTTTTTTACTATTTGTCAGTTGTGGGAAATACAACAAGCCATGTAACTCTTCTGTATCTGTTTTTAACCTGTAATACTATACATATCATTTAATGATTGGGAGAATCAATACCAAAACAATGTAAAATGCTTAATATAGTTAACAGTAAATAACACAAATAGCAAAATAAATAAAAAATTAAATAAATA